GCATCATCTACTTTCATTTCATATTTTCATTTTATAGGTCAAACCTGACTTGTCCATCTTCTTGTTAGGGTTGATTGCATTGGTCACGAATTATACATTTCTTCTGATTAATACGCCACAGACTAAGTAACATTGCATGGTATTCTGTGCATGCCAGTGCCCAGGAATGAGCACGGCCAAAGGGTCTATCAGAAACACAAATTTGGCAGTGACTTGGTTCTAGTTATAATTAGACAAAGTACTTTAAGGTAGTTCTTTTAAGTATTTTAAGGTAGTTAAGTTGAAGTAAATTACTTGCTGCAAGTGTGATGGTGTACCTCTGTAATCCCGGCACTCTGTGAGGCTGAAGCAGGATGGTGACATTTAGAGGCCAGTCTCGGTAATTTAGCTACTTAGCAAGATTTTTCTCAAAGTAAAAGAGAGAGGGGGTTGGACACGTAGCTCAGTGCAGAGGCCTGGGTTCAGTGCCCAAAACTGCACAAAACAAAACAAAACAAAACACCAAAACAAAATAAAAACAAAAGAAAGAAGGAAATGAAGAAATAATTTATTTGCTTTCTAAATTGGTACACAGCACATTTTCTATTAGAAAGATTAAAAATATAAGAAAAACTGTGAAAGTTAGAAAAAAGAACCAAAACAAAAATGAAAAAATGCATTGGCCCGGAGGTAGAAATAAAAAGAATAGAAAAATAAAAGGTCATGCTATCAATCCATACAGGGGAAAATGTGCAACATCCTGGGTGTGTGTTGTTGTCTGTGTGTGACAGTGGTGTTCAAGGAATAGAGCAGGGAACAAATGATTGCCCACACCTTCTAGTCAGGGAAGGGGATGGGAGGCAAACACAAAGAAATGCACAAATAGACTAACATAAATATAAACACAGAAATACTCTGCAACTAAATGAATGGATAAAATAGCAGTACAACTGGTCACCTGGAGGGGAGGACAAGAAAGCAGGAAAGGAAGAAGAGGAGTGCTGATGGTTGCAGGTGCTTGCAATTAGGAATTAAACCATCAAGGACGGCCACACGTGGAAGGTGAAGTACAGGAGAGAGCAGGGGGTTTGGGGAGAGCGAGTGTCACAGGCAGAGGGAGTAACCAGTGGGAAAGCCGTAAAGCCAGAGTGCGCCTGGACCATCAGTGAACAAAGGGGATCAGTGGGTGGGAACCAAGGGAGCAAAGTGGGGATGGGAAGAAAATGAAGTCAGAGAGGGAAGGGAAATTCCAAGTGGCTAGGACTTTGTAGGCATTTTAAGGACTTGGGCTCTTGCCTTGAGTAAGCCAGGGAGACTTGAGTGACAGGATCTGATATCCCAGGATCTCTAGGCATTGATTAGACTGAAGGAGAACAAGGACAGGATTTGGGAGGCCAGTGATTGGCTCAAACAGGTGATTTACTGAAGGACACAACGTCTACTCTGTAAAGATATGGAACAGGAAGTGGCAAAAAGAATGGCTCTCCAACCACATCAGGCCCTTGGGCGGTGTGGTGTGACTTGTGAGCTAAGGATGGTTTGAAGGAGTTTTTGGAGAAAAAGAGGAGGAGCTACAGAAACTGTATATATTGCAAAACCTAAAAACAACTAGCACAGTATCTAAAAAATGTTTTCCCAAAACTTAGAGTGAAATATCTGGGTGGTAACACATCTTCAACAACAGTGGAAGGAGGAGCACCTGAGTAAACTAGTTGGTGAATGATAGGTCTCCCACCACCTCAGCAGCTATTACGTATAGTAGCTGCCCTTTTCTTCTCGTGCCTTGCCCCCTCTCCTGTGTGACGTTATGCCAAGATGGTTGCTCCCAGCAAAGAACAAACCCTTCTTCCCAGCATGCCCCTGTTCCCACCTAGAAAGTAACCTAATACTCGCTCACCTCCTACCACCTAGTGACATCACCAGCTCCTCCATTCCCTAGTCACTACCTCATTCAACCCCACCTCAGCCCCTACAAACCCCACCCCAGTCCCTATAAAAGACTCTCCCTGCCCCGGCCATATTGCTTTTGTCTCTCCTTTGTTCAGAGACAGTCCAGCAGATCTATTCCCCTAATAAAGGCTTGTTGTGGCCTGGTCTGGTCTTGGTTTTCGGCCCTTTTACCTGACAGTGAACATATGTGAATTGATAGGTGTTAGGAAATGTGTATCTGTGGCTTCATCCAGAACCTTCACAAACTGCCATCTCCATTGAGTTTCTGGAAAATATGATCTGGTTTGCAAAACAGTAAAGCAAAAGGCACTTTATGACATAAATAATATTGTAGGTAACTGTCAGGTAAAGGTGACTTATCAAGAAATAAATTAAAAACACAGAGCATTTTTGTAGAGCTTTAAACTTTACATTTTCATGTCCATTTACTTATGTAATTTTCAAATCAAGTCTATGGGATAGGGATAAATTTCCTATTTGAAATTACCAACTTTAAATGGTTAGTGATTGCCCAAGAAAAGTTGAATGTTTGCATCTATTGATGCTAAGGATGGGTTTTTCAAGACAAGGTCTCACTACGTAGTTTAGGATGGCCTCAAACTCACTATGTCACCCAGGCTGGCCTCAAACTCTCCATGATCCTCCTGTCTCAGCTTCCCAAGTGCTGGGATTACAGGCGTGCACCACCATGCCTGGTAAGGATGGGTTTTTCTATGGAAACAATGGATTCTACAACCAACAAGGGACTTTCAAGATGACAGACCAGGAACAGACTAATTTTGTGTCTGAAACTCTATTTAATGTGAAGTAATGCCCAAACTAGTAGAACAATTAAAAACAATAGATTGTGGAAGTCATCAATGATGGAAACATTTTGACACAGTTTTGTGAAACAGAAGTGGAGCGGAAGGGTGATGGAGAAAATAACCAAGACAAAACTCCTCTGAAAGGTGCAGCACAAGGCCAGTCTGCTTTTACTGGACCCTGCTTATAATAAAGGGAAAGGGACACAAAATAACGAGAGAAACATTCTTTGGGGGAAATAGTCCATTTACTGAGCTGCATGGAGTGCTCAGTGTGACCCACATTGACCACGTGACTTTCAATGGGTGGTTGGTGATCATGACCAGAATGCAGGGACCGAAGGGTTCAGTCAGAGGGAGTCAGATATGTTTATTGTCACCACTGTAGTTCCATCCAGTGCTGGCCACCCCCAGGTTTCCTCGATATGATGGGAGATTGGTGTTTTAAAAATTATTGCATAGTCTCATCTGACAAGTACAGATTGCCATCCATAAAATATTTTTCTTCATTAGTAAATTAGTGCTTTTGAAAATGCTTTGCCTTGACAAACTTTATCTCTCAGCATGTTTGGCTCTGCAAAGCCAAATTGTCTTCAAAGAATCACCTGCCATCGAACACTGTTTTACCCTACAAGGACAAGAAGAGAACTTTCCATATCATAAGCAGGTGTTGTACCCATCTATTTATTCCCCCCTGGGCCAAAAATTCAACAGATGGATTTTTCTGAGACATTTTGGTCCAAATTCATTTTTATTGTAGTGAAGCCCAAATATTTATCAGATAGTTAATTAATTATTCTCTTTGGTAAAAATAATGATAATAGCATGAATGTAATTAATTTTTTTCAAATAAATCTGACAGAGTTCCTGTAGGAAATTTTTATTCTAAATTTGGACCAGCTTATTACTGTTCAAAGAAACAAAATCTTGTTTCTTTTTGAACTCTAGTCAAAAACTATCAAGGAAGTAAGTAAAATGTCCTTGCTGTACATCATTTCTGCTCCTAGAAAAATTAAAAAGACTTAGAATTCTTATCTTCTTCTCAAAACGAATTTGAATCTGAGCAAAACCTTTTGTGGCCTACCAATCTCAAAGTGGGTTGGGAATGGAAGTCCAAATTTGTTCTAACAGTAGGAAAGCAGTCTTCCAAGCAGAGTGCTAAAGCCAGTGTTGCAATATACACGATATGCTCAATGGCATTTTAATGAGATTTTTAAACCGAAATATAGAATATTTTTATTAATCTGTATGACTCTTGGTTGTGAAACTTCTGCATGTCCTGAGCTCCATGATGGGGAAAAACATACTAATGAAGTCAGCCAAAGAAACAAAGCTCCACCTAGATAAAACCCCGTGCAGGAGTGTTCCAATCTTTTTTCTCATGCTGCACTTTCCACTCCCTAGGACGGTAATGTCTTTTCCTTGTCCTAACATGCAAGATGTCCACTCTCTTGATATCTAAAGTTCTATCAAGGCTTTTCTCCTACAGGGAATAATATGCTGGTGAGGTTCAGCATGCACCTAGAGTGATGTAGAATATAACCTTTACCTCTTTGAATCCTCCAAATTAAACCATAAAGAAATCTGGGCTTCGAGGTAAAGTTGGAAGAGAGATCAGGGATGAAGGGCTGCTGACAATTGGTGCTGCACATCTGAGAAACCTGGAGCCAGTGTGGGCTTCAGTTACCTTAGGAGTGGGTCTCCCAGCAGGGCATGAGCTCATCATACTTATACTCAGGGCCTGAGGACCAGAGACAGAGAACAGTAATCTGCAATGCATGCCGGGTAAGGAGGCACCTCAGGGACAGTCATGAGCTCTGGCCTCACTCAGCCTGGGTTGGAAGCCTTCGGTGTGAGCCAAGGAAGGGCCTTGGGCTGAAATGGTGTGCTATCAAGTGTGTAAAAAGAAGTGACTAGAACCTGCCTGCCAGGAAAGGACATTGTGGGCTGCAGCATGATTCAGCTCAGAGCACTGAGTCCCCTCCTCTGTGACCCCACCAGCTGGTGCCTCCAGGGTGGCCATGGAGAGGGACAGGCACAAAATGGCATGGAAGCCCCTGCAGAGGTCCCTGAAGGGGCCAGCAGGATCTGGGTGGCCCCCGCACTGGGTTTCCAGCGTGCTGGGCCCTGGTGCCCCAGAGGACATACAGGTTCTGTATTATTTTCTTTTTAAAAGTTTGTTATATCTCTCATTTTTAAGTATTCTGTGATTGGAGGGCTTTACAAACACAGATTTCTACAATGCTGTTACTTAATTTAAACACACAGATAAGAATCAGTGTAGCTGCAAGATGGACTGAGCTGGCCCAAGGAGCTCTGGTGTTGGCCCACAGTACCCAACAGTCCCCACAGAGTGGCTCTCCTGGTCCCGAACCCCAGCGAGGAGCAGTGAGCATCCCCAGGAGCTGGAGTCCAGTCGGGGTCAGGCCTGGCCCTCTTGTGCAGGCCTTCTCTTGACTGACCCTCGCTGGCCTCTGCCCCTCACTGACGCCCTGCTCCATCATGAGTTCCAGGGATGTCACAGGGCGAAGCTTGGAGACAGCGCACTCGAGGCCACTAAGGAGTTGGCAATGGGGACAGCGAGCTCTCTGTGTGCTGCTCTGCTCGGCTCCATCATGCACAATCGGTAATGGGCAACTTGCTCAGAAAGCTACACCCCCAGCTCTGCTGTCTGTCCACTCTGAAACATCACCTGCCCACCCACCTGGCCCATGAGGTTTCCCTACCTGGCCCAGGCCATGTGCCCCTCCAGCGGGATACTCAACCTGATCTGTGCTGTAGGCCTTGGCCACGTGACTTCCACTGTGCCCCACTCCAGCTGGCTGCAGACTCCGCCCGGGAGATCCTGCCCCTGGTGTCCTGGGAGGACCCATGGAAAATACCAAGGGACTCTCAGATGGTTGGATCCTTCAGAAGGGTGAGGATCCTTCCTCCATGGCCCAGATCCACTCGCCTGACTGCTGGACCTGAGCAGCCTGTGGGGCCCATGACTTCCGGTCACCTCCTTCAGCCCCCAAAGGTCACAGAGGAGAGGGCCCAGGAGAAGTGGTGCCAGGAGGAAACCAAGGGGCAGTACCATCAGGATGGGGTGCTCTGAGTCCTGGGGTTGTGGCACCATCTAGGCCCATGGAGTCTGAGGGAGACTTAAGGACCTTGGGGCACAGTCCTGGGCCTCAGGAAGGTAAGCTCCGTCCTAAAGACTTGAAAAACACCTTGGGTGAGGTAGCCCATGAATTTCCACAGATCTCCTCCCATGGCCAGGCCTCCCGCAGCTCCCCCCTTGGGCAGCCCGAGGCACACATACCAGTGCCCCCCGCCCCAGCCCCAAGCCGCTCCCCATTGTAGAAGCCCCAGAAGCAAGTGCTGGATGGGCACCATCAGGTCCTCTCTCCAGGCTCCCAGGGGCCAGGGACGAAGGCAAAGGGCGAAAAGCCCCCAGCTGTGCCAGCAGACTGCTGTCCTCCACCCAGAGCCGGGGCTCACAGGCCTGGCAAGAGGAAAGAAAGCCCACCAACAGCCCTGCCTCTACCAGGATCGCAACTGTGGGATAAAGGCGAGCTGCCCCCACCTCCTAAGCGCCCTCGTGTGACCCCCAAGGAAGACCTGGGCAGCCAGCAGAGGAGCGTGTGGAGACCAGAGGACAGCATGACATCGGAGGGAAAATAGAGGCCTCGGAGGAGAAATCAGAGGTGCTGACAGATGACGCTGCCCCTCGGCTGGCACCTTCTCACCCCCCATCTGCTGCAAGGACTGCAAACACCCTGCCCCGTCCCGGGGACACTTGGTCAGTCCCAGTATTCCTACCACCTCTGCCTGGGCACAGAAGGCAGCTGGGCCCCCCACCCTGTCTGACCCTCTGCCTTCCCCCACACCCAGGAGAGCCCGGCCAGTAACACCCACAGTCCCCTGTTCTACTGCACCTCCCGGTTCTCTCCTCCCCAGCCCTTCTCTCTGTAGCCCTTCTGCACTCTCCCCTCAGTTGAGACCCTTGATGGGCAGCAACAGCCAGCCTGCCTCCCCAAAGCCCCTCTTCCTGTCCTGCCTCTCATGGACCCTTCCCTCGCCAACATCTCAGTAGCCAGAGGCAGTGCATTGTCACTGTGCAGGGCTGCTTCTGACCTGGAAGCTATGGACACCACCCCGCCTTCCATTCTCCAGTCTCCTCCCACCTCTGAGATCAACTGTAGCCCATTGGACAGGGCATCTCTTGGTCCCGGGAAACCACCACCAAGGGACAGCACTGCCTGGCCTAAAGCCATTGCCACCTCCCAATCTCATGTAGTGCAAGGACCGTGGACAACTTCATACCATCTGCCAAATTGAACAGCCACACCACAGCCCACACTGGGGGCCCCAAGTGGGCATCGATATCCCGGCTCCCCCTGTGTGAGGAACCCAGCAGCACCCTCACCAGCAATCAGTCTACCCTGTCCTGCAGCCCCATCTCCATCTGACTTGGAAGCTACGGACACCACCTTGCCTTCCTAGTCCATCCACTTCCAGTCTCCTAGTCACGTCCCACGTAGTTGACCCCCCCCTGCAGGGAGCAGAAGAGAGCTGTACAATCATCAGTCACCTTTCCCTGGCCTGACCCTGAACTGGGTTGTTCTGAGCTCTTGGCTAGTTTTCTTTAGCTTGAAACTAGTCTGACACCCACCACCCCTTCCTGCTATCCCTGTTCCCCTCACCTGTTTACCTCAGTGGCTCTTATACTCTCCCATTATGTACATAAAAACCTGGTTATTGTTCACCTGCCTGTGTTCATGTCTTCTTTGCTCTTTGAGTCCATTCCTGGGGAAGAATTGCCGTGTATGGGTGGTGATGGGTTGAGCCACTTTACCCAGATTTACTCCAGGGAAGAGGTTGGGAAGCAGCCACCTTCATGACCGTCTGTGGAAATAAACTACAGGGGAATTCAGCTAGCATACGCCATGCTGGACCAGACTTTCTGTTCTTGCCTGGTAGACTTCAGTTGGAAAACACTGCTGTGCCTCATTTTTAAAAATGGTTATGTTAAAGTAAAATAGCCATAAATGACCCACATATAGTTATGTATAGAATCTGATAAGTTTTGATGTATGGATTTTCCAGTAAAGTCATAAACACAGTGAAGAAAAGAACGTATCTGTAACTCTCAAAAGTTTCCTCATCCTGCTGCATGTGCCCTCCTGTCCAAGTTTCCCTATACTGTCCCACCATGTCCTCCTGCAAAGGCTGACTTGCCTTCTGTAGATGTGTTGTCATTTTCTAGAATGCATATAACTGAGTGTATATAATGTGCCTGCCTGTCTGACTCTCTCACCAAGAATAATTATTTTGAGATCAATCCATAGTCTATTCCTAGAATTTGCTGAGTAGAAATCCATTGCACGGGGTACTAGAGTTTGTTCACTCATTCAGCTGCTGGTTGACATTTACGTGGTAGTTTTCAGTTATTGGAAATGGAGCTGGTGTGAATGTTCTTGTAGAAATCTCCGTACTCGAGCACACGGGATTAGAAGGGCTGGGTCACCTGGTAGGTGTGTGCAACTTTTGAATAAACTGCCAAAGTGTTTTCTGCAGTGACTGCACCACTAGCAGAGCAGGAGAGTTCTGGATCCTTTGTTCCTCACCTGCGTTTTGTGTGGTCAGACTCTAATTTTAGCTCTTCAACAGGTACAAGTGTTGGTCCCTTGTGGTTTAAATTTTCACTTAGCTGATGTCTGCTTACAATAACTTTGCATGTGCTTATTTGATACCTAGCTGTCTTTCTTGTTGAAATCTCATTTCAAAATTTTCCCTGTACTTTCAATGTTTAAAAATTTTCTAATTATTGTGTCAAAGTTCTTTATGTGGTGTCTTAGTTACTTTCTCATTGCCGGGACAAAATACCTGGCACACAAGCTAAAAGAAGAATACCTGGCACCCACAGTTTGTAAAGGTTTCAATCTATAGTCAGCTGGCTCCAAGGCAGGGTAGAACAGCAGAGGGGTATTGCAGATGAGAAAGAACTCGTGTCATGGCATGCAGAATGCAGCAGCTTTCCTTCTTTCTCTTTTTATTTCATTCAGATTATAAGCCTTTTTTTTTTTGGTACCTGGGATTGAACTCAGGACCTTGCGCTTGCAAGGCAGGCAGCAGCACCACTGAGCTAAATCCCGGCCTCAGACTACAAGCCTTTTGGGTGGTGCCACCCACACCCAGGTTGGGTCTTCCCTCTTCAGTGAGTCCATCATCCACATCCAGAACCCACCAATCAGTTGGCCAATTCAGTATCAAACACCCATGACTCAGTCATCTCCAAAAAGCCCCACCTGTGAGCACATGCGGCTTTGGGGGTACAGCTAGATAGAAACCATAACATGTGGCACAGTAGTAAAGAAGTCTTTTTCCGGATTGATGACTTGCAAATGTTTTATTCCCATCAGTGCCTTGTCCTTTCCTTCTCCTAATAATGTCTTTCAAGGACCAGTTTCTAGTTTTTATGAAACTTAATTTCTATTTTTTTGTTCCTTCACAGATCTTGTTTATGATGTTGTCTGTAGAAAATCTCTACCTAACCCGTGAGCACAAAGATTTTGTCCTATAGGCAATTCATCAGTTTATATTTCACATTTTGGTCTTTCATCTATTTTGAGTTCATCCTTATACGGTAAGAGGTAGGGACCAACGCCCATGTTTTTGTCTGGCTTTCTAGGTACCCATGCACTACATGAGTCCAAACCCATTTGTCAGAAACACTACCCTTCTTCCTCCACTGAATTGCCTTTGCCCTTGGTCCCAGCTCAGCTGTCCCTGTGTGTGGCTCTACAGGATCTCTGTTCTTCCCCCCTGATCTGTCACATATGACTCTTGATTATAATAAAACGCGTCACCGACCGCTCTGCAGTTGCTTATGTAAAGTGGCTTTCTGTATTTGGCCTTGCCATTTTACCATACATGGCCAGGTACATCTGAAATACTTTTCAGAATACAGCTGGCATCTAACTCAGATTACTTCCTAAAATCATTTTTAAAATACTGAGATGTAAAACTTGTGTATTCTACAGCCTAACAAGCTCAAATCCATAGTAATCCCACCCAAAAAGCTGTTGGGCATGAAAAGGACATGGAGAGAGTAGGAATTGTGTAGATGAGAGTAGAGGAAGTGATTCTAAAACATGATAGAAGGGAAAAGAACTCTGCCTCCCAGCTTCTCCCCACAAAGCAATCAAGACAGAAAACCTCCTTTAACACACCGTCCATTAGAGGTAGGGTGTAGAGAGAGAGGGCGCACATGTAATCTGCACACTGAGTAACCGATTAATTAATAGATTAGGGCAGAGTGTGCTGCTGTGCCCCTTAACCCCACTCCAGGCACCCCTGTAATTCCCTGGCTCACTGATGGACAGGTGCACAGAAATACCAGTGGCCAAAGTCAGAGTGTGAGATGTGCAGGGCTGAACACAGTGCAGATCGTCCTGGAAAGGAGTGGGATTCACAACTCCCCTGGAGCCTGGAAGGCAGTGCCATGCAGGAGGGTGGGGGTCTGAGCCCAGGTGCAGAGTAACCAGTAGTCCCCCCCCAGTCCCCCGGTCGAGTTCCTGCTGACCTAAGAAGAGAGCTGTTCGCTCCCCTGGGTACCCAGTGAGGCCTTATGCAGCAGCAGCCTGCTCACACCAGAGGCTGCCTCAGCCCCTGTCTCCTGCAGCCACCCAGACCTGTGCCCTAGCCCTGTGAAAGCCTGTGGTCAGGGCTATGGCTGCCATTTCCAGCAGCAACTTGGAGCTCTCAGGATGCAGAGCAGCGCAACATGCAGAGAGCAGCAGGTAGAGAAGGCTTCAACTGGCAAGAGGGGCGGCTGAGCCCTAGGGGGACAGAGGTGTCAGGGGCAGAACCAGTGCTGGTGGCGAGGGCACCCTACGGGGACAGTGCTGTGTTCTGCTGTCCCCTCCCATCAGGGCCAGAGTAGCCACAGCAGTTTATGGGATGCTGGGAGCTGCAGGGATACCACCAAGTCAGATCGGGCCTGGAGCAGGCATGGTGAAGACACCCCTGTCCCCTGTGGTCCCCAGCCAAGCTTGAGTAGTAGGTGGAAGTCTGACCTTGCACCATTGCTGTGGTAGCTCCCTGGTTCTGCATGGAGGGAAAGTTCCTGTTGTTCGTGTCCTTCGTCTCTTGGGCCCCAGGTCATGGCCAGCTATGGCTGAAGAAGAGGCCAGACTTTGCAGGGTGGATACTAATGTGTCAACTGAGCCCTCCACACATCCCCACAGGTACCCTGTGACGAGCTGACACCCTCCAGTGCCAACATTTCCCCAGCCTGCTCTCATGACTGTCAGTCAAGGGGTCTTTCACCTGGAGCGTGCACCCAGGGTTAGGCAGGATGTAGGGAGCCAGGGGGCGAATGTCCTGGGGTCAGGGTCTACAGATCAGTGCTGGGGGTCATTCTCTTGGCAGGAGGTGGAGGATCTGCCTGGGAAAGGTTTCACTGGGCTCCTCCTGTCGCTTGTGTGGCTGCCAGGGTCCCTCCTAGTGCCCAGGCAGAGATGTGTGTCCCGGAGGGTGCCCTGGGGAGCCTGTCCCTTAGGGACAGCCAGCTCTAGGGCACAGGCAAGAGGGCCAGGTGCATGCCCTACTCCACAGCTTCCCAGAGGGGGCTGATCTGGAAGAAGTCAGTGTTACAGCACACCTGTGATTGACAGGTAAGTGCCTGTGAGCTGAGCCACTCTGCCTGGACCTTCAGGGCCCTGGGCTGCTTGGCTGCCCTCCAGGAACTTCACTTTCCCCACCTGCCCACGAGGCTGGATAACGGCAGGCTTCTTTCCAGGATTAGGCTGGATAATCTTGGTAAACCCTCAGTAGCCCACGTAGCCTCCAGTCTTTCGTTCTTCTGACTTCGTTAAGAAACTTCATAAAGGAACAGAGTAGGTTTCCCCCTCAGTGACTGCAAAGCCAATAAACACCCAGGAGAGAAGAAGGAAGACAAGTTTGTGACTTGCAGGAAGCAAGGAGAGCTCCGGGGACAACTGCCGAACAGCTTCTCGGGAACACAGGGGGCAGGAGGATTGTACTGGACTTCTGCACACTCATACTGGGAAGCCTGGTCATCACAGATAGAGGCGGGCACATTCCGGAGCGTGTGGGATTACATTCCAGTTTATGCTCCCTCGTACTGTGTGTGTTCAAAGATGGTGAAGGGGAACACAGCTGTGTAGGGTGGAGAATTTAGCATTATAGTGAGTGTGTGTGTTTGTTTTTCAATATTGGGGAATCAGTGCTTACAAGAGAAACAGATTATATACATATGTGTTTACAAGGTGGGGTTACACTGGCTGTCTGCAGAGTCAGGTGTGGAAGAGTGCAAAAGAGCTGTCTGTGTGCTGGAGAGCCGAAGGATCCAGTCAGAAGTCAAAGGCCCAGAGCTCACTGTAGGGTCCTGTGCAAGTCCGTATCAGGAAGCCAGAGTCTGGTCTGCAAGGCTGAAGAGTCTGGGCTGGAAACCAGGAGACAGATGTCCAAGGCAAAGGCAAAGACTGGAGCTCCTCTGAGGAAACAGAAGTGAGCCTTCCTTCCTCTTTCCCCTTTCACTCTATTCAGGGTACAAGCCTGTTGGGTGGTGCCACCCACATCCAGGGAGAGCCTTCCCATCATCCACACCCAGAACCATGCTAAACCTATCAGCAGACTAGTCCAGTCATCACACCCATAATCCATATTCCCACACTTTAAATCCAGCCACCTCTGAAAAGCCCCACCTATGAGCGCATGGGTCT